GTATGAATTGCATAAAAAGTACAAAAAATTTTGCATGTTTAAAATTATATCCATTGTAAAAAATTTTGGTTGATAGATACCTGGACATGTCATATACCAAACAAAATCCTAACTATTCGGCTACAATTTGATAATAAATATATTTAAATAAACTGCATGGTATTAAAATTAATTTAATTCAAAGTAGGGGAGTCATTTAATGTCATCCCTGTATAATTATAATGTCATTTAATTTGTGTGTTTTTGTAGTTTACTACTCAGAGAGCATTGATAATCAAGCAACTAAGTAGCCCTGATCATTCGCATAGATTGGTACGTTACTTAAGTATTATTATAATTAATAATTATCACTCTAAACACCAGGGTCGCCACCATCACCATAATTACCGCTGCTCTCTGAATGGACCTTGTTAAATATAATTTTGTTGGTACTGAACACTAGTCTAATCTATTCACTGATCGCCACCGGATTCACTGATTTTACTGAATCCGCGTTTCAGACCCGATATCACCGAACCTCCCATCTCTACGATCCCTTTCCCCGCGTTCACGATGGCCTCTCCACTTTGCTTTACCTGTACACAAAAAGTCACCATGATCACACTATAATTACCACTGAAATATTGCATATTACACACGCACATGCACACAAACGCTATGCAAAAATTTTAAAATTAATTTATACATGCATTAATATAAATAATATAATGATGTTAATAGATATTGTATAGAATATGCATTAATCTAATGCCAGAATATTCTTTGCTATTCATGTCATATACACTATTCAATTGTACTCAACATATTCAGTAAACAAACTATTTTGCATTCAAACAATATATTAATAAATAAATAAATATCCAGTGTATTATTAATTCAAATATCTAGTAAAAATACGGTATTTGTTTAGATATTAATATTTGCGTAAAAGTACTTATTATAATTTAATACTTTAATTTGTCAGGGCTATTTATAGTGACATCCCTTAAGTGTATTTATCTAGTACGTTTATTGACAAATATTGTTCAATACATTTATTGACCTAAAATATATCGATTAACGAAAAGTCTATATAAAACTATTGTATTGATAAACGATTTGAAATGAAATGATTGATTCATACGAACATTTCGTGTCCAATATATTATATAGATCCTAGCACATAATTATAGTCAGATTTATATATTAATATTATTATAACCAGTTGTGTATGCACTCAACTATAATAGTATCAGGATATTCACGATAAGTTGATTTCGCAGATTGAGTGCTAAATTCATTACATTAATAGATATGAGAAAACACTTAAAAATAATTACATTAATAGACATTTTGGTGCAAACCGTACAACACATACACATACGTCTAACAAACATACATTTTCACAAAAATTAGCTAGCTAAGTGACCACTAAATAGCAAATAATGAAAGCAATTTAACATCTAATCAAATGAGAGGCATATTTACGGCATTAGACGCCACTTGACTGATGTTCCCGACGGCACCCGTAGCAGCACCTAAGATGCCTTCCCTGGGAGCTCCCTGTCCAGCGTCGGTAGCCTCTGCCGAGTCCAGTGATTGTTGTTTATTCAGATCATCCGCGCCGAAGTCATAATTCTGTGTGGTCGACATTGTGTCTGGGTCAATCTAATCACCAGGCTTACTTTAATAACACAGATTACGGTATGTTTTAGTCGTAATATAGTGGACACGAAAAATATTATATATATTAGAGCGAAGTAGTGCTCACCTCCTGTTCCCCTCCTATTACACCCCTTACATACAGTCCAGTACTATGTCTTAAGTATGCACTCCATAGTAGTACATACCATACCATTGTACAACACACCATAGCATGCATGCGATGTAAACCTTAGCCCATAGGATATCACATTTCACTCGTGAGCTTATAGTCACCACTATATGGGTGGACAGGGATGTGATGGTATATAAGGCAGAGCCCACTCTGGACTCTCTCTGGACTTTCTCAGTACTGATCACTGACTGTGAGTCAATCATAATGATCTACCTACTAATATATAATTACATTTAATAAATACCATTGACATACACAATGCCGGCCCCAGTGGTAGTGGTCGACCACTGGGTGCACCGCCTAGTTATGAGGAAAGTGCGGAACATCCTGTGCCACCAAAACTGAGACCATTTCCATGCAGTTATAGATAGTATTGTATTTATTTAATCGCATTTACTATTAATATAAT